AGAGAGAGAGAGAGATGTGTGTGTGTGTGTGTGTGTGTGCAGGTCCTGTGGCTGCGTTGGAGAACCTGATACTCTTCCCGTCCATGGCGCTGGTGATATTCACCATCCTCCTCTGCGCCTGCATGTCCACCAGGTACACACACACACACACACTCCGACGGAGGTATCTATTCTCCATTTCTCGTTTTGACGTGTCTGTCAGTCTGATCCCCATAGCCCAGAGAATGAAGCAAGGTTCGTGCGTCCGCCCACAGAATGGATGACACCATCCGGCTCTCTCTGTCTCTAAAAGTGTGGGTGTGTGTGTGTGACAGAGAGCGGCTCCGGTGCCCTCAAGGATGAGCTGGAGCGCTGGCTCAAAAAACCCGACCTCGCACCCAGGCCCGCCTACGGTAGGTACCTACCTCTGTCTGTGTGGGGGGAGGGATGATAGAGGGGCCCAAGACGCAAGGATGGTCCGGCTCTCTTCGTGTGTGTCTTGTCGTGTGTGTCTTCCAGCCCCCGTCGAGTCGGGTGGTTCAAGCGACCCGGTAAGTAAATGAGACGAGGAACATATGGATTAGCCGATGGACAGACAGGTCGGTGTGTGTGTGTGCGCAGGAGGGCCAGACTGGCCTGACAGTGGCGCCGTAGACAGACAGACAGACAGACAGACAGCAGAGAGTCACACTTACAGTGTGACTGACGTAGCCACACAGACAGACAGACAGAGACATACCCAGGAAGGAGGACCGCCGCAAGTCCTGCGGAAGGAGGTTTTTTCCGTTAACTGGGTGGGATGGGTCACATCATGGTGTTTAGTGCGTGTCAGTGCGTGCTGTGATTTGTGTCATGGTTCGTTTAAGACATGTGTCTGATCTGCACACAAACATGTACACACATATATAACTAACGGAATATATATACTGTTTGCTTCCGTCCTTGATTGACAGTTGCTGGCTTGGCTTGGCTTGCTTAGTCACTCTCTCTCTCTCCTCCCCTCCGGCCTCGTGTGTGCAGTGAGCGCAGTGAGTGGAGTGGACAGACAGACGGACGATTGCACTGCCCGCCTGACTTGCCTGCTCGATTGCTTGATTAGGTCCTTCCTTGAATCCTTCCTGCGGCCTGCCTTGCCTTATCCATGTGTGTGCAATGACTTGCCAATGGTGCCTGCCATGGGTGGGGTGTTCTTCCCTCCCTCGATATGCGACTCGTTCCTCTGCAACACTTCACACACAATGGCGCCGCGCCCACTGCGGAACCAAACGTGGTGGGCGCCGCCGTGTGGGGTGGGGGGAATGTGGGAGGACAGGTCGCACAATGAGGAGGCAAGAGCTCCCTTTCCGTATTCTCGTGTATGGCACTCTGCCGACCGACAGCTGGGTCCTGTGATGCTGTGCGGTGTTGTGTTGTGTTGTGTTGGTTGGCTTCATTATCTATCTCGGTCTTGCTGCTGGTCTTGGTCTGTCTTGTTGATACGCCTAGCTCCTCACGTGGCACACTCACTCTTCTTTCCTCTCCTTTTCTCACCCTGCCTGCCTGCCTGCCCGGTATGTGAGTGTGTTGTGTGTGGGACGGATGCCAGTACACTCATGGATGGATGGATGGATGGATGCCCTGGCCTGGCCTGGGTGATATATAATATTACCGACCGAGATGAGGACACTGTAGTGAGTGAGTGCAGTGAGGAATGAGCGAAGGAATGCGGTGAGTGAGTGCACTGCAGTGCAGCCAGAGCTCTCATCGTTTGATTGAGCAAGCCAGCTTGCCGTCACTCACTCATTGATTGATTCATTCAGACGAGCCACACCACACCATCAATCATCCCATCCACAGATGCCATACCGGACACTCTCCCCCTCCCCCTCCCCCGCCCCGCCACCTCCCTCATATGTCTGTCTGTCAATAAGGATGCATTTCATTCTGTATAATTAATGCAAAAAGTCACTTAGCCGCCGGGTTGATCCACAGC